CTGTAGCATCACAGCTCACAGCAACCTCCAACTCCTGGGCTCAAGAGAGTCTCCTGCCTCAGCCTCCCAAGTAGCTGGGACCACAGGCGCCCGCCGCAATGCCCGGCTATTTTTTGGTTGCAGCCGTAATTATTTGGCAGGCCCAGGCTGGATTCGAACCTGCCACCTTAGGTGTATGTGGCTGGCGCCTTAGCCACTTGAGCCACAGGCGCTGAGCCAGAAAATTTGTATATTTAAAATATTACATAGACTCATAGAATCTGTCTATCACATAGATAGTAAAAACAACATAAAACTTTTTTTTTTTTTTTGAGACAGTCTTACTCTGTCACCCGGGCTAGAGTGCCATGGTGTCAACCTAGCCCACAGCAACCTCAAATTCCTGGTTTCAAGAGGATTCTCTTGTGTTAACCTCCTGAGTAGCTGGGACAACAGGCACTCCCCACAATGCCCAGCTAATTTTTCTATTTTTAGTACAGACAGCGTCTCGCTCTTTCTTGGGCTAGTGTTGAACTTCTGAGTTCAAGGGATCCTCCTCCCCTTGACCTTCCACAATGCTAGGATTACAAGCATGAGGCATCACACCCAGCCAAGACATGTTTCTTGATCACAGTAAAATAATGTTAAAAATAATTATACAAGTATTTCCAAAAACTACTAATTCTTGAAAATTAAAAAAAAAAAATGAACAATATTCTTTTGAATATTACTAGATTAGAGAAAAACTTAAAGTACTAACAAAATGTAAAATACTAACAAAATAATGGTAATATTATTTATTGGAACCATTAAATAATTAATTAAAATGATGTAGAGAAAATATTTTCTAAAACCCAATAATTTTCCATTAGACTATTAATGACAATAAAAAGTTCTCACAATTGCACAAAAGCTACAAAGAGGTCTGAAATGTGCGCTAATGATATCTAGGTTCATTAACTGTAAAATGTTGCTGGCAGATACTAAAGAAGACTCAAATGAATGACGAAGTAGAATATATTTTTGTGTGGGAAAATTTAATTGGGTAAAGATACCAATCATCTTCAACTTAATACATACAATTAAATTATTGTTTGTTGTTTCATTTTGTGTGTGTGTATGTGTATGTTTAAAGAGCCATGCATGAAGGGGTTCCAGACCTACTAAATGTGCACCCATATAAAATATGATAAAGGAGGCATTTTGAATTCAAAAGGATGAATTGTTTTAGATAGCTGATTATGTATAAAGAACTCTCAAAACTCAACAGTAAAAAATAAAAAAATCACGGTCTCATCAGAAAATGGGTAAAGGATCTGAAGAAGCCATGCAGATGGCAAATAAAGCACCAAAGAAGCTATGCAGATGGCAAATAAATACATAAAAAGATGTTAAAAATCATTACCCATAAGAGAAATGCAAATTAAAACCACCATCAGGCACAACTACACACCTATCGGAATGGCTACAATAAAAAAGAGTGACAACACCAGATGTTAGTGAAGATGTAGAAAAATCAGGTCCCTCATACACTGCATGTGGGAATTTAAAATGGTACAGTCACTCTGGAAATGAGTTTGGCAGGTCCCTAAAAAAACGAAAATGCAAACAGCTCATATGACTCAGCAGTTGCATTCTTTGGCATTTAACCAACAGAAAGGAAAATTTATGTTCACACAAAAACTTATACATGCATGCTATAGCAGCCTTATTATAACAGCCACAAACTGGAAACAACCCAGATGTTCTTGAAAAGATGAATGGTTAAAAAAGCTGTAGTATATCCTTATCATGGAATATGACACTAATAAAAAGGAATGAGCTATTGTACTGATTCACAATGACTTGGATCAATCTCTGGAGAATTATGTGTGTGGGGGGGCGTAAAAAGTTAATCCTGAAGATTACATATTGTCTTATTTCATTTATATAATATCTTTGAAATGACAAAAATATATGGGGAACCAATGAGTGCTTTGCCAGAGATTATGAAGGGGGGAGAGTGGAAGGGAAGTCAGTATGACTGTATAGGAGAGACATGTAGGATCCTTGTGGAGATGATAGTATTCTGTATCTTGACTATATCCATGTCAATATCTTGGCTGTGGTCTTGTGCTTTAGTTTTAGAAGGTATTATCATGACAGAAAGTATGAAAGGGGTATCCAGGATCCCTCTGTATTATTTCTTACAACTGCCTGTAAATCTACAATTATCTCAACATGAAAAGTTTAACTAAAATATTATCTAGCCAGAAAATATATTTAATATGCTTAGTGAAATAAAAGAGGACTGAAAATACAAACAAGGGAAAAACGAACCATAAAAAATGACAGAACAGATTTGAAAAAGATTCCAGTAGATGTATATAAATAAAAAATATGAAAATGAATAATGAAAATGTAACCACTGTACAAACAGATTATACAACTAAAGAGAATAAATGAACTGTGAATCAGGTGTTAAGAAATTATCCAGAATGAAGTAGAAAGAACAAAAAACATTAAAGAGAGGCTAAGAGACATGGTTAATACCATGAAGTTCTAACCACTCCAAAAGGAGAGGAAAGAGAAGGAGCAAGACATATTCAAAAACACTGTGACCGAGAATTTTCCAGAACCATTGACAAGAAGAAATCTTTAGATTGGAGAAGTAGAATACATACACCTGGGCATGAGGGGAGCAGAGCCACCGATGAGACCAGAGGCCAAACTCAGGATATGAGGCTGCACTGCCCCACAGGATCCTCAAGGAAACCCAGTGTTTGCTGGAAGAACCAGTTCCTGGCATTAAAGCCTGTTATTTTCATGTGGCCCATCAGTGGTGGCCCCTAGGGATTTCTCCTTTGAGGGAGAAACTTTTAAACTCAAACGCTTCTTTCCAGAAGAATACCCAACAGCAGCTCCGAAAGCATGTTTCTCGACCAAAATTTATCATCCTAATGTACACAAGTTGTGAAGAACAGATATTTTGAAAGATAAATGGTCCCTAGCACTGTAGATCTGCACAGTTCTGCTACCGATCCAGGCTTTGTTAAGTGCTCCCAGTCCAGGTGATCCATTAGCAAATGACACAGAGGACCAGTGAAGACCAACGAAGCCCAGGCCATACAAAGAGCTAGAGCATGGACTAGGCTATATGCCATAAATAATATTTAAATCAATTATTTAAATATTGATTTTAATATTTAAATCAACCCATCAAGTGTGCATCACTTCTCTTGTTCTGCCAAGACTTCTATGGACAGTCTTAGAACCCTTACAGAATAAAAACCCAGACATCTTCAGTCCTTTGGTGATTAAATGCACATTAGCAAATCTATGTCATGCCCTGATTCACTGTTGTAAAGTACGAGCAGAGGCTAAAAGTATCACCTGGATAGTTGCAAAGCCTTTAAAAGCAGTGGCCGCTCTCTTTTATTCATTTCCCCATCATGGTTTAAGTATAAAGCACTATGAGTGAAGGCAGTTGTCATGGTTCACTGCAGGGGTGTGGAAACTTTTTTATTTTATTTTACTTTTTTTTTTGAGGGGGGAAGCAGTTTTATTTTAACTTTATGGTCTCCTTTCCCCCTTTCTATGGTGATCTAATTGCACTGGTTAAAAGCAGCTAACCGGTTCTTCTCTAGCCAAGTCAAACTTGAGACATGGATAAGCTTGATTGTTTGAGGCAAAATAGGAACATTAAACAAACATCACCATGCTTGCTGATAACACTTGACTTTGCTGTTGTGTGTAGATTCTCCCCTTCAAAAAAAAGCTTGTGACCACTTTGTATGGTTTATCTGGAAACTTCTGTGAATCTCATGTGTTAGTAAAGCATTTTTTGTTAGTCTAAAAAAATAGAAGTAGAATATATCATGAAGTAGGATAAATTCAAAGAAACTCATAGGAAGAAACAAGACGGTAAATCCGCAGAATACAGAAGACTAAGAGGCCTTCTCTGAAAGCACACCTGGAAGAAAAGAGACAATACCCCAAAAGGAACGGCAATTAAACTGATAGCTGACCTTGGAAACAACATTGACTTGAGAGGAAAAATATGTTTCAAGCTAGAATTGTGCATTCAGAGAGGCTATGTCTCAAAAACAGGGCAAATTGAAATATTTTCAGATAGGCAAAAATTGAGAGAGTTCATTGCCAGTAGATCCTCCCTATGGGAGAGTCTAAAGGATCTACTTCAGGCAAAGAAAAAATGATCCCTGCTAGTAGGTCTCAGAAACAAGAAAAAAAAAGGGGGGCAAAATTATTGATAAACAAATGTAAATACTGAATATACAAAATGAAAATAATGCCCAGTTTCTGAGCTTAAAAAGGAAAATAAAGCTAGAATGAAATCAATGGGAATTGACAGCATATACATGGAGAGGATAGGACAGGAGTCTTAGCATTCTAATGACCTTGCATTTTTCAGAGGAGTGTAAAGATATCGGTGCAGACTTTATTAAATGCACGTGTTAGTATCTAGACCATGACATTGAACAGACATAGATAGCATGATTTTTAAACAAATGGAAAGAGAAAAAAGAAGTAAGTAAAAGAGGAAAACTGACAATCTTAGATAAGAAAGGAGAGGCAAAGAAGACAATTTTTTTTTTTTTAAATTTTAGTTGGGGATTCATTGAGGGTACAAGAAACCAGGTTACACTGATTGTATTTGTTAGGTAAAGTTCCTCTTACAATCGTGTCTTGCCCCCAAAAGGTGTGGCACATACCATGACCCCACCCCCCTCCCTCCTTTCCTCTCTCTGCTCTTCCTTTCCCACACCCCTCCCTCCTTCTTTCTCTCTCTGCTCTCCCCTTCCCCCACCATATCATTAATTGTCATTAAGAAGACAAATTTTTAAAATGGGGCAAATGAAAGTAAAATAATATGGTAGAAATAAATTCAAAGAAGTCGATCATGTCAATAACTCTAGTTAAAAGGCAAGATTTTAAATATCAAGGAAAAAAATCAAGGAAAAATCAGGGCTAGATTTTAAATATCAAGGGCTTAGAACAAAAATCATTCTGCCACAAAGACATTTGCACCTGAATGTTTATTGCAGCTCAATTCTCAATTGCAAAGACATGGAAGCAACCCAAGTGCCCATCAACCCATGAATGAATTAACAAGCCATGGTATATGTATACCATGGAATACTATTCAGCCATAAAAAGATGAAAACTTGAGTGTTTACCTGGATAGAATTGAAACACATTCTTCTTAGTAAACACATTCTTGAAATGAAATGAAATGAAGCACATTCTCCTTATCTCAAGAATGGAACAACAAGTATCCAACATACTCAATACTAATATGAAACCAATATATAGACAACTACATGCCCACATGAAATAAAAAACACAAGTATAGTCTATTGAGGATGAGCGGAAAGGAGGGAGAGAGGAAAGGGGAGAAGGGAGGCAATTGACAGGATCTCACCTAGTGTGCACAATGTGAGGGTGTTCAGTAAGCCCCTGGGTGAAGGGCTCAACTACAACTTGAACTTTACCTTAGAATTAAAAACAAAGTAACCTAAATACTTATGCCCTCATATTCATCAAAAATAAAATGAAAAAAAAATCATATAAAACAAACAAAAAAATCAAGATCTTTGCAAAGGCAAAGGGTTTCGCAAGGCTACAGCTGGGTGTTGATTTAGCTGTGCTGTTATCTGGAGGTGCATGTGTTCTGTGAAGTTTGCATTTGTCACAGGGCTGCATTTGGGGTTAGGGAGGGCTACCTGTGGCCTTGGAGCCATAGATTCCTGGCTAGGTTTGGCAGAGGGGGGACACAAGTCTAGGGGAGACATGAGTCTATTAGGGGCCCAGTAAAGGTCTCACTAAATCTAAGGCTCCTGCTGCCACCTGGTCATTTTTGACTCTACAAGCCCCTAAGGAGTTACTGAACTGGGAGGTAGACACAGGGTTGCTGCTGTGTAATTGAGGGGAGGGGTGTATTTCTTGAACTCAGTGATTCTCTGAGACACCTCTTGATGCTTTCATGTCAAGTGAATGGGTAACTGCAGCAACCAAAACCTCACAAAGACATAGTAACCAGGGGCTTACATTCTTCAGGGATCAAAGCTGGTTATCCAGGTAGACAAACAACATGGAACAGCAGAAGTGCTGGCCAGGGATACGGAAAATCTAGAAGGGTAACAGAAGAGAGAGACGAAGAATCACCAGTTACAGACTTATGATTAGTTGCAGTGGATTCTGGAAGTTGCCCCATTTATCTTCTTATAAATCCTTTTCTTTTAGAAATTGGGCCTAGCCAGTACCTTAAAAAATCGGTGATGGTGTGAATTTAACGTGGGAGAAGAGTGGATATGAGAGGTGCAAAAGGCAGAATGTATGAAATGCTTTAGTTCCCCATCCATACCCACTGGACATGCACCTCTTCTATGCATGGCCAGTCTAACTTCCAAAGGCTCTCCTCCAGGTACCTGAATCCACTCTGCCTGAGCACAGGGCAGACAGGAATCAATGCTCTGCTATAGCAGCTTTCAACCAACAACTGATGAGAGTTGGTGAATAAATCTCTCAGCTCCTTTGCCCCCTAAGAGGGGATAACTCTGCAACAAGCAACCTAGTATGCCCTAGTTCAGACACAGAGAAATTTGTTTGATAACATCCCCTTTACTAGTTTCCTTCCCCTCCATCCTGCTGTTTCCTGGGATTACTTCCCATATAAACAAACTACTTGCCTTCCAATTTTTGTCTTAGGATCTGCTTCTAGGTGAAATAAAGTGACAAGGTTTGAATGGACGTGCTTAACTATAGCATAATATAATAATTGAAAACCAGAATTCTACAAATATCTTAAGAGTTGTTATCCGAGATAACAACATTGTGCAATAGCTAACTCATATTCAAAAGTGTTAGTTTCTATTATGAAATAGGAACAGAGCTAACGGTTTTTTCACAGTTAAAAGATCCAACTGAATACAAAATGCCAGAACTGATATGACCTTCTTTCTAGCTCTTAATAAAAGTAATCCCAAACTATAATTAAACATCTTTTAAAAAATTGTGACTTCTCAATTTTGAATTTACAATTTAATCTATAATAGCATATTATGTGTTTCTGCTATAATTCTATACACTTTTTAAAAATGTTTCATTACACTGATAGCAGTTGAGAAACTTCAGCAGTGGATTTTGAGATTCAGACGGTCACGTCTCCTGGGAAACATAGCACTTCCGCCTGTGCTAGCTTAGCTGCCACTCCGCTCCATCTTATGCTCTTTTATTAAGTGTTCAGCAAGTATTTGTGGAATTAATACATATTAGTCGTTGACAGGAGAAAGAGTTTTAGAAAGCGGATTTACAAAGAGATCCCAAAGTTTAGTTTTGCAGGAAAAGGAACTGGGCTGGGGTCCCCGCAGGAGGTGAGGTCCCGCGCAACAGATACCAAAATGCATATGGGCGGTGGGCAATGACCTGGCTGACACCTGGAAAAAGACTTCTTACCTGGCGGCTGAGCTACAGCCGGGACAGCACCAGACTCCCGAGGCTCCGCGGAGCTGTTGATCGGTTGCCGGGGAAACCTGCAGTGGAGGGCGGGGCCCGAGGACGGGGCCTCGAGAGGTGTGGCTGTGCTTCCTTGATTTCTTTATTCTAAATATTCACTTTTGTACCTAATTTTGTAGTCATAATTATAATGCACTCCATTTCATAAATACGGAAGAGAGGGCATATACGCCGTCCGTTTATGTTCAGACACACGAAATGAAAGAAACCTTGTTTTTTGTTGTTGTTTGTTTGTTTGCAGTCTTTGGCTGGGGCCTGCGCCCTACTCCTTTGAGCCACAGGCACCGGCCAAGAAACCTTGTTTTAACACAGAACCACCAGACTCCAAAGCCAGCGCTTGTTCCACCACACGACACTCGCTAGCCCATTTTTAGAATCCACAAATGGTTAGCCTCAGACACAAATATGTGGCAAAGTCAGAAAATGTCCATCTTCAGGAGATTAGAAAAAAATTTCTTGGATCACACAGCCTTGGTACAACATGGCTTTTATTGACTGTCGGAAGAAAAAAACAGGCAAGAGAGAGATGAGAGGGAAAACATATACGCTCAGTGAAGGACCATCGGATAGCACATTTCGGGCAGAAGTGAGTACGGAAAAAACAGACCAATTTGGGAATGGATCTATCCTGCAACCCGGAGGGCCTGCTTTAAAAGAAGCAACCCAATGCCAAACTTTCTCCCTTTTTCCAAAGAGCGGAGGGAGATAAAGGAGACTCAATTTATCCCGCGACTCTTTCTCCGTCCAATTTTCTCCTGCCCTCACCAAAGATGGCGCCCTCCGCTTCCTCCTCCGGCAGCACGCAGGCTCTGAGAGCCTCTACACCCCCTCTCTCTGGTCCATCCTCCAGCCCTGCTGCCGCGTGCCCGGGGCGGGGCTGGCCTGGGGGCGGGGCGCTGGGATCCGGAAACCTCTGACCTGTGGCTGATTCTTTAGCCCGGGTTCGGTGTTTGACCTGGCCAGACCTGGTACCGGGGCTCTGAGGCGCTTACTCGCCGGGTTTCCTGGGCGGTCTGGCGGCTGACACCCAGTCGCGGGGCCCTCATTTGGGCTCGCCATGCCCGTGGCGGCCGCCCCCATCATCAGCTCGGTCCAGAAGCTGGTGCTGTACGAGACCAGAGCTGTGAGTACCCGGCGCGGGGTGGGGCGGGAGGGGGGCTGCCAGCCGGGTAAGTGTGGGGCCCTAGGACAGAGGCTGCACCCCCACCTCCTTCATCCGGTCTCAAAGCCCTGTCTTGCATAGCCTGGGGGAAATCAGGCCCCCTCCTGGGCTGTGCCTGAGGTCTCCACTCTATTTCTGCACCCGGGGCACTGCTGTGTTCCCATGTACTTCTTTCCACACTGGAAACTGGTGCTTCTGATGCTCCGGGAACTGTTTGGGAGGCTCTGTATGAGTTACTGTATTCTCTTTTCAGCTTTAAAAAGTCTGTTAAAGTTCTAAAGTTAACAAATTACAGTACAGGCAGGGTATGAAAAAAAATTGACCTAAGACGCGGTGACTTCTTTCTTCCTCTTCCACGGTGTGTTAATTATGTGTAATGGTATTGCAGATTGGGGGGGGGGTTCTTATTTGAAAGGAAGACAAAACTTATTTTGTTTGAAGACAGCTAATTTGTTGGGATAACATTATGTTGGTCTTCACTTGTTTTTTTCCAACACAGCATTTTTAAAAAAATTTTCAAATGGCCATGTTGATAGTGAATAAGCAGATCAGTTTTTATGTATTTAGGTTACTAGTTCCTCAATAAAGGAAATTGTATTTAGTACTTCACACTTTGTCATTTTTGTGGCTGGAAAGCAAATTTGGTACATTATATCTTTTCTAAGTAGGGGTACCACAGTGATGTTAGGAACTGAATTTAAGATTACCCACCTACAGAATAGGAAAATGGCTAATATCTAGAACCTACGAGGAACTTATATCAACAATAAGAAAAATCTAGCGACTGCATTAAAATGTGGGCAAAAGACATGAACGAAGTTTTTTCAAAAGATGATAGACAAATGGCCAGCAGACATATGAAAATGTGCTCAATATCATTAATTATCAGGGAAATATAAATTAAAACCACCATGAGATACCACCTTACCCCTATCAGAATGGGCATTGTAAAAACATCAGAAAACAAGAGTTGTTGGTGTGGATGCAGTAAAAGGGAACACTTACACATTGTTGGTGGGGCTATAAATTAGCACAACCTCTGTGGAAAACAATATGGAGATTCCTCAATGAATTGAAAGTAGACCTACCATTCAATCTAGCAATCCCACCGTTTGATATCTACCCAAAGGCAAATAAGTCATTTTATCAAAAAGACTCTTGTACCCAAATGTTTATTACAGGACAACTCACAATTGCGAAGGTGTGGAAGCAAACTAAGTGCCTATCAAATGATGAATGGATAAGGAAAATGTATACACTCTCTCTCTCTCTCTCCCCGCCCATGGAGTACTACTTAGCTATATAAAGGAATGAAATAATTCATTTGCAGAAACATGGACAGAATTGGAAAAAAAAAAGATTATCCACTGCCTGGTCACTAGATTGCATACACTAGGTAGTTGCATAATACTCTTCACATTGCTGTGGAGTGTCTTATAAACTATTTCAGTGAAGCTTGGGTTGTCTCCATTAGAGGAGTACAAGAAGTTACTTAACAGTTTCTCAGTTATAATGTAGCCTTAGTAGCATGTCTGGCTCATGTAACTGAGTACAGAATCATTGTTGATCTTAAAATAATTTTGCTGACAACTTCATTTGATTAGATCCAGACCAGGAGATCAAATTATGTAATAAGGTGTTTTTGCACATATCTTCAGTTCTCTGAAGAGAATCATACAGAAGTATCATTTGACATTGAAATTGAACCAGCTATGTGTAAAATGTGCTGGTAAATGTTCCTAGTTAGAAACATTAAATAACTTAAAACACAGAACTTTCAGTTCATTAATCAGTTGAACATTTGTGATAATTGGTTGTTAGTGTTTTTCCTAAGGCGCCATTCATATTACAGGGCTCTTCTGCTTAGAAATCTTCAGTGGTCCCTACTCTGAGGAGAATAAACTCTGGGTCCCTTAGTTTGGCACTCAAAGCCATAATCGATATGTGTCTTCAACTTGTTTGTTTGGTTTTATATCTAATGTCAATTCATGAAACATTTATTGAAGATTATCTATGTGCCTTTATGCGCTTTATTCTGCAGTAAAATTGCATTGCTTTCAGTTCCCTATGTCTGCCTTGCGTTTTTCTGTGCTCTTTATTCTTATAATGTCTCTTGGCTTTCTGGCAAAACCTTGCTGATCCTCATAGCACAGATCTGGTATATGCCTTGCAAATAGTAGACTCTCGATTGATGATAGTTAAGGGGGTCTAACACAAAGAGATGTGTATTCTAGAACCTAGCTGTAACCCTCCCAGCCACCTAAGTAATGGAAGCTAATTCTGGTCAGCTTAGTGATAAAGGATTTGTCAGAAGGATACTGGAGGAGCCAATGTGTGGAATCACTGGAGGATCGTAACTCTCCAGCCTCTGGTAAATCAGAAGCAAGACAGCAGGGTTGAGAACCCTCTCAGAGTGCTGCCCAAAGCAGCATAGGTGCTGGTAGAAAGAATCTGATTGACCAAGCTATGATTGGATATCTTGGGTACTGGGCGGACAAATCATCATGGCTAGGGAGGGTCTGGCATTAATAACTTAACTGTGGAAACACCCCCTTTGTGTCAGGGAATAGTTGGGACTGGGCAACTGTCCTGAGAAATGTCTGCTACACTGAATCACTGAACCTCAGTTGTGTTATTTGTTAAGTAGATAATCCTTTTTAGTATTTTTGACTTGAAAAAGATGTAAGCAGATTTTTTTTCTTTTCTTTTTTTTAGTATTAGGCTTGAAGTTTAAGGGATGTAAATAACTCAGAAAAAGATATAAAATTACTGGCAACTAAATAAATCCTAGGAATTAAAAAAACTAAAGTACACAGGTGGTAAGAATGAGAATAGTAGCTAATACTTGTGGAGTACTTCTGTGTTGGGCATTGTTCAAACTACTCTAAATATATATTTTATTATTTACTCCTCATAAAACCTTTGGAGGTCAATGCTGTTACTACTACTGCTCCTATTATTTGAAGCAAAGAGAATTTAGAATAGTGCCACTGAAAGTGTGCTTCAGGTGCCAAGAATATAGATTGAGGAAAGGATACTTCTTCAATAAAGGGTTCTGGGAAAACAGGACGTCCATATGCAGAAGAGTGGAACAGCCTCCTTTCTTACCGTATTAGAAAAAATCAATTCAAAATAGAGTAAAGACTTCAACATAAGTCCTTAAACTGTAAAGATACTAGAAGAAAATATAGGGGAATTACTTCAGGACATTGGTCTGGGCAAGGATTTTATGGGTAAGACTCCAAAAGCATAGGCCACAAAACAAAAATAAACAAATGGGACTATATCAAACTGAAAAGCTTCTGCGCAGAAAAGGAATTAATCCAAAGAGTAAAGAGACAACCTATAGAATGGAGAAAATATTGGCAAACAATTCATCCAACAAGGGACCAACGTACAGACTATATAAGGAACTCGGAAAACTTAAAAATAAAACAAATAATATGATTAAAAATGGGTACAGGATCTGAATAGATATTTTTCTAAAGAAAACATACACATGGCCTACAGGTACATGAAAAAGATGCTTACCATTACTAATTATCAGCGAAATGCAAAGTCAAACCAGAATGAGATATCGTATCACCCCAGTTAGGGTGGCTTTGTCAAAAAGACAAAAAATAAATGCGGGTGAAGATATGGAGTAAAGGGAATTCTTATATACGGATGGTGGGAATGTAAATTGGAATAGCTGTTATGAAAAGCAGTGTGGAGGTTGCTCAAAAAAACTAAAACTAAAACTACCATAAGATCCAGCAATCCCACTGGGTATATATGCAAGGGGACTTCAAAAAGTTAATGGAAAATGGAATGAAAAAATAAAATATAAACTGTTTCTCAATATGAATTTCATCAAGGTTAAGACACTTTTGTAAACCATGATACCAGCCATTTAGTCCATCCCTACAGCAGTGAGGGTCCTGAGAATTTAACCATGTCAATGCAGTGTTTTTTACATTATTAACGGAAGAAAAATGGGTGCCCTTTACAGATTTTTTAAGATTAGGAAGCAAAATGAAGTCAGAAGAAGCCAGATCATGACTGCAAAGTGGGTACCTAATGATTTCCCATCAAAACTGTCTCAAAATTGCCTTGTTTGATGAGAGGACTGAGTTGGACCTTTGTCATGGTGCAGAAGGACTCTGGTGAAGATTTCTCCTGTAGTTTTCTGCTAAAACTTTGACTAACTCTCTCAAAACATTCTGATAATACCATGTTTCCCCCCAAATAAAACCTACCCAAAAAATAAGCCCTAGCAGCATTTGTTACATATAAGCCCTACCCCAATAATAAGACCTAGTGATGCGTTTGGTACAAAGAGGAAGACATCCCCTGAAAATAAGCCCTAGCGTGTCTTCTTGAGAAAAAATAAATATAAGACAGTGTCTTATTTTCGGGGAAACACGGTAAGGGGGATGTTACTATTCTTTGGCTCTTTAGAAAGTCACCAGAGAAATGCTTGAGCATCCCAGAAACCTATGACCTTTGCTTCTTACTGGGTCACTTTTGCTTTGGCCAGGCAGCTTCCAACCTCTTGGTAGCCATTGCTTTGATTGTGCTTTGTCTTCAGGATCATCCTGGTAATGCCATGTTTTATCTTTTGTTACAGTTCTTTGAAGAAATGGTTGAGGATCTTGATGCCACTTGTTTAAAATTTCCATTAAAAGCTCTTCTCTTGTCAGCAGCTGATCTGGCCACAAGTTTTGGCGCCCATCAAGTAGAAAGTTTAACTTCAGCTTTTCAATCACAATTGTGTGCAAGTTAAACCAGTTGAGATTCTGTGGTGTTGACTACTGTCTGTGCTGTTACCTGTCAGTCCTCTTCAATTAGGGCATAGAAGAGACGAACTTTGTCTTTGCAAATGGATGTGGATGGTCCCTTGCTGTAGACTTCATCTTCAATATTACCTCATTCTTTCTTTCTTTGTTCTTTTTTATTAAATCATAGCTGTGAACATTAAG